TCTACACAGACCTTTTTACATTTTAGATTCACAGTGTAGCGAGGAATGTTTATTGGTTTTACAATGATGTTTATTTGAAATAATTTCACTTAATAAGTGAAACAGCTTTCACATTGGGAAAAAACGTATGAGTTTACGATTTTCATATTTTAAATAATTCTCTTGTGAAAAAATGATAAGAGACCTTTTTTGTTGCATTTTTGATAATTAAAATTCTTAGAGACTTACGAATGTAAGATAATAAAATGAAAAATATAATTTATTAAACATCGTAAGACATCGTATAGGAAATTTTCGTTATTTCCGTAAACTGAAAATATAGCAATTTCTACCACTTATTTTTTTAGTTATAACTGATTTTTACTTATTTTGAAATAACTTATTTTAAAATATATGAAGTCTAAGTTAGGTCTATCTGCTCTAGACCTGTTACTATCTACTTGGAACTCTTCGGACATTGTGTTATCGACTTTAACCTGATGTTTTGTTTCATTCATTCATACAAATATATAGAGTTTTGTCAAGAAATAAGGTTTTTTAGAAATCTGTATTCACAGATGACATTTTAAGCTCTATAATATTGTATATTTTATTTGCAAAATTTACACCGTAAGGTATTATAATATAAAATTAACAACAACAGTAGTTAAATAAAATTATATACAACATTTACTATTATGATATTGGGTATATGGTATAGATTGTGTAGGTATACAGAATTGCCCTTGATTGTGGATGTTACAAGAAGGTACCCTATAGGAAATATCTGAAAGTATGTCGAGTTTGTCTAGGAAACCATTAAGCAAAGCCCTGATAAAATTCTGGTCGGCGTACTAATGCGGAGAAAGTAGTAATTAAATATTTAAAATTTCACATAAATAGATATAGTCATGGCATAGATCAGGTAGTTTAAGAACGAAAGCAGCATAAGCTAGGAATTTTTTTTGAACGCACTCCAACCTTAGTTTTATATCAAATACGGGTGTCAGATAACAATACCGTAATCAGGCAGAGATCTAACTAAAGAGACATATAAGGATCAAAGATAACTAGCAGAAGAGAAAAGATGAGTATTACGTTTTAGAAAACCAAGTCTTTTTTGTGATCTACCCACTGTTGTGTAAATATGGTAACTAAAATAAAGTGTGAAGGAATAATGAATACCAAGATCTATAATGAAAGAAACACGTAGAAGCGGAGTACCGTTTAAATGATAATCATTATGGATTGTTGTGAGATCTAGAAAAGGTAATGATGTTACACTGGCTGAGATTCAGTGATAAGTCAAGACGAGCAAGCCAGTTATTGAATAGGTTGAACTCATTTTGTAAAAAGGAGCAGTCTTCCAATACCTTCCAATACCTTTATTTTATGGAAAATGTATATGTCGTTGGCATAAAGTAAAATCTTCATTTTAGAAACATAACTAAAAATGGAGTTGACAAACAAATCACATGTATATGAATTACTGTTTATTATATACCTATAATATATCTATAATTACCTTTTATATATAGAGGTATAACTCGATATTTAATATCATACACCTTTTTAAAATCAACAAATATCTGCCATATATTTTGATTATATAATATTATTAATTATAATTATTGATAGAAAATTAAAAAAAAAAAAAATGAATGTCAGGATAGCAACTATATGCTGTCAATGTATGTCAACTAGTTTAAGTGTGTAATGTATGTGTTGAAAATCCAATGTAGGTAGATCAAAAATTGTTACGATGGAGTAACCATTGTTGGTTACAGGTATAAATTAAATAACTTTATGTATCCCACATTTCCTATTACCGACCTAAAACGATGGTCGCATCTATCCCCAGTGTCAACTCTTTTTTTATAATTTTGTTTAGATTAAAACTAGGTAGGTACCTAAAATACTTCGTGTAGCAATTTCAACGTCCAGAGTTTCTCATGATTGAGAGCTTCAAATTGTTACATGTGTTATTGAACCATTACGGTTCGGTAAAATGTTTAAACTTAAAATATATTTTGGTTTATAGTCGTAAAATAAAACGTATATAATAAATTGAAAACAATTTTCAAATAAATTATTATTTAAATTTTTAATTTTATTAAGATGAGTTTTTAGGTGTGTATCTTAACAAATAATTTAAGTGCAGATTACAAAAATTCAAAAACAGTAATAAATACAATAAAATATGTGAACAAAACAAATATACATAGTAGAATACAAGTAAAGAGGAAAAGAAAGAGGAGAAAGAAGAGGAAATGATTTAGGACCATATGATTTTAATACAAAAAGCATAAGGAACGTAAGCATATAAATGGAGCCAATATCATCAAGATATAGAATGAGTGAGAAGTTGAAGTGAAGTATATCGTATTATAAGTTGAACAATACATGACGCAAAATTGTATCATCTTCATGATGAAGTAGTTTAACTCAAATAAGTTGTGTATCTGTTATTATGATATACCATAGACACTGAATCAACAAATATTTTATTATTAGTATAGATATAGAATTATTAGTATTCGTGGTTTAAAAATAAAATAAAATTTTATTCACGTTTCATAAAATGTCAATTAATTGACCTTGTGTAAGAATCTGACTCCAAACCAATTAATTGCAAATTGTCCTAACAAGGCTCTTGTAATCACTGAGATTATGGTAATTAATGTTACGAACGATTGATCAAAGCCAACATTAAAAATAAATGAGATTGAAAAGCAGATCTACAAAAAAACAATACAAAATTTATAACAGGGGTCAAACTGTTATTCAAATATCAACATTCACAGTATTTTAACCACTTGGTAGGTATTCATATTCAAGTTATTATTTTTTTTTCTATTTTATTATGAGTGTGTTAAATGACAATTTATAGTACTGACCATTGAATTAGAATTAGCAATCCACGATATATTTATGAACACCATTTCCTTAAAATTGAATCCTGCACCACAAATTGAACATGTTGTGATTATTATACGAATCTAAAATCAATAATAAATAAATTATACTCAACAGGCAATATACGAAAAAGAAAATTTTTATTTATTTTTAGCTGGTTATTTACAAAGAAATGAAATAAAAAAATATAAATAGAATAATTATATTCACAGTCTTTTTAAGATTTTATTTTTTGAGTAATTATGTAACAATAATTGCATAGTTAAAATGCAATTTATTAATTACTTTAATTCTTCACAATAAAATGAATTTGACAATTACTTACGGTAAATGTTATCAATAGAAAAAATATGCATTTGAAACCCTCAATAAACAGACTATCAATTTGTGACAGCGAATCATGAAGCATTAAGCCAAGATAACCGAAAATCATAGGTAAAGTGATATTGAAGATGTATTCGAATATGTGTGTTAGTATAATTTTGTGCTTCTTGATATCATCATTTTCGATTATTATTGGTATCATTGTGTTTTCACGTCGTTGTTTTCTATTTCTCCATTTCCAGCCGGTACATGTCACGAATAACGTTATGGCACATCCCAGAGAACATGTAATTGGAAATTTATAATTCCTTTTATAAAATCCTATAATAATTGCTTCGATGCATAATAAAAAGACTCGTATGATTGCAATCTGAGAAACAATAATTTAGGTACATTTAAAATCATAACACTATATTTATAGAATGTAAAACTATAAAACAATCGTTTTAAATTTTATTTCTCGTCTATTAAATAAGTTATACTATTGATGAATCTATTTTTATTTCAATTATAATGAAAGGTTACTGATTACCTTAATAAGTTAAAAGTTGAAGCGGGGCCGCAAGGGTTTTATAGAAAAACAATTAATTAAAATATAAATATTTTTAGTCCTCATCCCTATGAGTAATATAAAAGAAAAAAAAAACAGAATTTAATTATCATTATTATCTCCGGAGGTATTCAAGGGGTATATATTATACAGCCTGTCCCAGGTAATTTATAAATATACAGTGTATATCTATAAACTATTGTAAACGAAAAACGTTTTTGAGTGGAATTTGATTGAATACTGGTTACTAAAACTTATATTGAAATAAATATTTTATAAAATAATAATACAGGACTACAATTACCAAGATTATTACATTGCTAAACAAAGTGCCTATAATAATCTTTATATTTAGCTTCCGAAAATGTTTTCGTTGGTTATAGGTATAAATTAAATAACTTTATGTATCCCACCTTCCCCACTACCCACTTAACATAATGCCCACGCCCGCACCTGTCCCTGTTTAGCTCTTTTTTTTTTCCTATTGCATTGCGTTTAGTCAATCGATCAACCTTTTTTTCACCTTCCTTTGTTTATTATAGTCAACTATGCAACTCATATTTTTTTAGGTTTTGAGCGGAGCGAGTAATGTATTGGTTTTACAATGATGTTTATTTATTACTTTTTTTTCTATGGACAACTTTTCAATCCGAATTCTTGCTCCGATTTTTAACTGTATTTATGTTTTGTAATTTTTTCAATTTATGGAAAAAATGGAAAATTATCGATAAATATAAAGTAAACGGGAAAATAGGTACAATATCAAACAAATATTATTAGTAATGGTGGTGCTTTGTGAACTGTGTTGTTTTAAGGTTTTAACGATAGCACACTGTCGACATTATATTATCGCCGATTCATGGTTATAAGCAGTATTTACGGTAATGCATCAGAAACCGGTGTTTTACAGCACCGTCCAGAGTCCGGTGCAGTGTAGTGTAGTTTGACCAAAAGCGTTTATTTTTAGATTTGAAGCGGAACGATATATAGTGTACCAATAAATCCCTTTGAAATTACTATACTGTTTTTTTTTCTATCTGTAAACAATTTTTATACCACAAAGCTTAACCGACAAAAGATATTTTTGTTGCATTTTTAATATAGTTGTGTATTACTTAATTCGTTTTTTGATTTTCGGTTTAATTACTTTAATTTTTGCACACGATGTTTCTATTAGAAATATCGCTTTAATCAAACAAAATAGTAACCTTTAAAATATCTAAAGAAAGTCTCATTTAAAATTCCAAAATTCTGAGTTGAGGTTGAGTAATGGCTCAATATCAACCTCACTAAAAAAATCTGATAGTTCATCAGGGAATGCAGCACAAACGATGGAATTTGAGCATAAACTAGCACAAATAAAGGCCATTAGTTTGAATTTAAAATTCAGAGGTGGGGATGCAGTCATTTTTTTGGCACCTCCGAACATAAACCTTTGCAATTCCTGAGAGGTTTTAGCACAAACAATGGAATTCGAGCACACACCAGCACAAACGAGAACTTTTGGTGTAAATCCAAAATTTGGAGTTGGGGGTGCCAGGGAAATGCACCTATCATACTGCCGTGGTTTGATCGTGGCGTGATGTGTCACGGCACCAGTCGCGCCGGTTTCAATTCCCATCCGCACGGCCGGGCACGCTCGTGGACGACACACCAGTTCAGAGACGTCCGGCCACCGCTTCCGTCTCGTGCTACACGTTAACCCGTGAACACGTATTGTAACATATTTTCCATGACGCCTTTTTTATTAACAGAACTCAATAACCGCTGTTGTATTCTTACTTAAAAGTTGTTACAATAGCTATAAATTGTTGTTGATAATTTGTGGTGGTAAAGTCGTGGTGATAATTGGAGATTTTCACCGGGTGGCCGAAGAACTACCACACTGTCTCGGTCGTTTAAATATACACCACCACTCGGAACTCCTCTATCTCTAGGTATATAACTTTTTCTCATATGTTGTCCCCGAGATGGGACAAACTGCTTCTGTTTAGGACTCCTCACCCTGTTTGGCTAAATTTGATCCCGGGAGTCGATTTGACGCAACCTCATTTATCGCAGATCGACAGTAGGACCTAACCTAACCGAGTGTATTATTCTTCCCCCCTGCCGGGAAAATGGTATTGTTAATTATATGGTAAGCTACTGAATTCTATACAAAAAAAAAACACCATATACCTTCTAAAATCACTTCCTTTGATTTTTACCAGTCGAACCTTTGGGTTCCAAGAGTTTATAAACCCGTAGCATCATATGTCCTAAGTTTTTTAATTTTAAAAACAAAATAAAAATATAAAAAAATATCATTGTTAAACTACTACATTTCTCGCTTCGTTTCAGGACCGAAACTCTAAAAAGATAATCAAACAAAATTGTATAATACGAAAAAAGAATATAAAATTCGACTATGGCGGTAAAGAACGTTCACTAACGAGTATAGTTGCTTACATTTCGATTGTTGATTTTAGGATCTTTGTTACTTATTTCTCTTCGCATATTATACACATTTCCTCGTTCAGTCTTCGGAAAAAATATCATTAACAATCCATATATAATTCCAAATATAATTTCTATGGTTACGTCATTCTTGTATTCATTCAACAATAATTTAAAATGTTCTATAAATATAACACATAATTAAAATACTTTAAATTTTATACATGACAAAAATCTTGAAAAATCACATAAATTAAATAATTTCACAACTATACAATTTTATAATTCTGTAAAATTGGATTTTTCCGATGAAAATAACAGTGATTTCTATATACGTCAAACTAGTTCTATACATTATGACTATGTAAAAAAGTCAATATTTGAAACTTACAATCCAACCTTAAGTAATACATTAAATATCTAGTCATTGCAGCGTCGTCTTGGCAGTTTGAGGGGCTTGGGGCAAAGTAAAATTATACATTAATCAATGGCGTTGTGTATATGATAGTATATATTTATTAAGGAGCCAGTTTGCAGAAGATTTTTCGGAGCCCCTAATTCAAAATTTAATTTTTAATTTTCTATTTTTTTCTATGCTATAAAAATAATCCAATGTTCAGGAATTATTGCACTAACTAGGTGCTATTGAGCTTTTAAAGAAATTTTAATTTTTGGGAGTTTTTTGCTGTAATTCGGTTTTGAATACACGTAGCAACTTAAAACTTGATAATAATACTTATATTGAACCTACTCAGGCGTGATAAAATTTCCAAATTCACCGGACGACTTTTTGTTCTTGTTTAAATTTTTCATACTATAGACCACTTTTATCTAATATAATTTATATCTATAATAATATCTTTAATCTATCTATAATTCATGAATAAGTCTTTTTTTTATTAAAGATGTATGTCAACGAATGAGATTAATTTTATGGAAATAATTCTTACCGTCCTCCGCCATATTAGGGTATAGATGATTTCTGTACCATACAAATAAAATGAAACCGTCCGTAATACTGGTTATCACTTCCACTAAATATGATGAAACAATCAAAAGAGTTATGATATTACCTTCTTTGCCATATCCTATACGTTTTAATCGTAACAAGTTAGGCATTAGAATGACAGGGTTAATTATTGTCCACCAAAATCTATAAATAAATGTAATAAATTAAATACAGATAACCATGAAATTAAAATTTTCAATGAACACAAGAAACTTAAATTAGATTTTATTGGAGGATAAAATCAAATAATCCATTGACTAATTTTTTAAAAGTCTATTTAAATTATTTATATTTAGTCATCTTTTGATTAATTGAAAAATGTGTATAAATAAATAAATAAATATAAAAATACATGTCTACTAAAAACTTAGTTACAATGAATCAACCTTAAGCCAAAAATTATATTCCGCATTGATTTTTTGACTGTTCAGTAAACATTTTCTTTAACAAAAACTTAATATTTAAATTAATAAAATAGATTTGCATTTGTATGCAAATGTTTGTACTAAATTATATTTATATTATATTATATTTAATTGTATTCAATTAGAAATTCTAAATAAACGCTTTCCAAAACTTAAAATCTAACCATTCTAATTATAGTCTATTTCATTAAATTATGGCTATAGACACAATTTTAATGGTTCATATTAATATAGGATATTATTTTGGTTAAATATAAACTTAATTTAGGTATAAAAAATATAATTTTTATGAATAATTAATAAACAAAATAAAATAAATCTAAATATTTTAATATTCATACTCTATATTTTAATGTTTGGGAAAATAATGGTTTATGCAAATCTATAGTGTATGTTTTGGAACACTAATTTTTTAATTAATGATAGCAGAAACAATCATTTAAAACAAAGTTAGTAATTTTATAAATATATTAATAACCTACCCATTATTTGGTATTGAGTAAACTAACCACAATGCATTATTTTTTTCATTTTCTAAAAATGTCCAAATTATAATCACGCTGATCCAATCGATTATAAGTGGCAATAATACAAGCCTCGTCAATGCAACACGGATACGACGCAACTCCCAGACATCCCATTCAAGTACGCCAATAATCATAATCAAGAATGTTGTTAGTTCCCTTCAAAAACAAAATAAGAGCAGAACCATATTATAGTTATTAAATGGTTAATACCAAATACCAAGAGTTTTATATTTATAATTATTAATACATTTTATTCAAGCCCTAACCTATTCGATCTATAATATAAGTAATTTTTCCCTTTAAAAATTGAAGCAGCTGTAACTACATAAGTAGCTACGGTTTTTCGGATAGTTTTGAATGATAAATTAAAATTTTAAAAATGATATCTAATTCAGGGATGCTATTCTCTCTGTCATACTTATAAAATGAAATTGTTGAAAACAATAAAAAATTATTAAGTAAATTCGTTAAAACATTTTTCATAAAAATGTATTTTAATCAATATATGTTGAATATCAAAAATGAGTTGTTACTGATTCAAAACAACACTAGAATCTAAAAATTAAAGAGCAGATACTCTGTATGGGTGCGGCAACTGTTGGTAATAGGTAGTGGGAAAGGTGGGATACATAAAGTTATTTAATTTATATCTGTAAACTACGATAAACCATTTATAACAAAATACGATTTGGAGCGATGTTTGGTTATACAAGTATTAAAAGGCCGCAATAATTACGATTTTCGTGAAATTTGTTTTTAAAACTTTTGCCCATAAAAAAAAAAAAAAAAAAAAAAATAATACTACATAACACTCAATTTTTTTTTTTAAAACAAAATGCATTTGTTTATTCCCTATTACGACATGGTTTTGCAAAAAGTTTTTTACGAAACTCGGTTTTGAACGTGTGACCCCTGGAGTAACAACAGTACCTACCACCGCTAAACTACCACATACATACTAGAAATTTGACAATATTTAATTATGTAATACAACACATATAATATCCATATCATATAAGAACTTCAAAAATCTATCAAAAGTCAGATCGATAAGTCTAACCATTCTTAAATCAGCATTTAGTATACATATTAGGTATGATTAAAACAAAAAAAAGTTAAAAAATTTACAAGAACCCGATTTGTTCTACATAATACGTAAACGATTTTTGTCAAAATGTCTTTAAAAAAAATACAACATAAAGCAAAATGTTTTCTTTCACCACTAAGTACAAGATTTAAGAAACCTCTTGTTAAATTTTTAAGCATTTCTATTTAGTCTAACAATTTTATTCTCCGAGTATCTACGAAGTACAAATAGCGTACAAAACTCGCAAAATTAACATGTCTATAGTTAGCTCAAAAATGGATCAAATGGTTTGATAATTTGACCACGTCTAGAAATAGCAAATATAATTATTGTGTCAGAATTTCAAGTCTTTATGAATATATTAAAATAATAAAAGAATTATTTTCAAACATTTTCCTGTACTTTCTGCAATATTTTCGGTTTTGCTCAATTATTGAAAAACTTAAAAGAAAGACAAAAATGATATTCTTCATCACCGACTAGATAAAAAAATTTAACAAAATAGATCTTCTGATGTTTTTTTATTGGATCAATATTCATAGTAGAAAACATAAGAATCATTAAATTTTTTTTTCGTTAGGAATCTATTGTTGCATAAAAAAATGTATTAAATTCCTCTCTATATCTTACATTTCCGACTTTTCTCCTTCACCAGCAGCCCATTTACAGTGCATATTATAACAGTCTTTTTTTATAATACTTCTAAGATCAAATTTTAATTAAAATCGTAATTATTATGGCATAACAGATCATGTATAAATGAAATTCAGTCAAAATCGTTTTTTGATAGTAATGGTTTATCGTTGCTTACAGTAAAATAACTTTATGTATCCTACCTTCCCAACTTCCTATCTATATCTGTGGCACACCCAGTCTTCAGTATCAGCTTTTTTTGTTAGTTTTGTATTTTCACAAAATCAATGTGTCAATATACACATTATATAATATATTATATATATTTAATATATAATATATAGTATGTACTTAGATTTCTAGAACAAGTACAAAATAAAAGTATTTCGATATGTGCTGTATAGTGTAAACATATTACAGTATAATGATGTTATATGTTATACATTATGACATATTAAATTAAATGTACAATATACAGTGACAATCCAAATATGTATTTCTGGA